TACAAATTTGAAAACTCGCCCCTAAGGTTGTTCGTTTTCAAAGCATGTACTCATGCAATAATGCTTCACATTATAAACTAATTGCATAAACTACTATTATCCACACATAGTAAACAGAATTATTTTTCAGAGCGTTGGCTTCCGCGGCCAGAGTCAGTAGTCACGTGGGAGGCCGAGAGTCGCCGCGTCCTAGACACACAGGTACCAACCTTTCGGCTGCCAATCTGCGACCTTCTTCAGGGCCCATTTCGCCCTGATAAAGGACGCAAAATGGCGGTCGAAAGGTTGCCACCTGTGCGTAGAAAGCTGCCATATTCGAACAACCAAGAAGCTATAGAATGAAAACTTATTTTTGCCTGCAATCTAGCGGAGAAACTTGTAGACTTGCGTCGTGTCTATGAGTGTCATATCCCCTAAAGGCAGATGGGGTCCTGCGTTCCAGAGTGCTTGCAGTTACTGCGTCGCTCTCCGTAATGGCGATCGGAACACTCTTTCTGTTCTCCCGCCGCCGGAGAGACGAGGGGGAGGAGGAAGAGGAGGAGGAGGAAGATGATGTCTCGGACGCGGAGAGCCTTGGTCAAGCTCCTGCAAACGGAATCTCCTTCCACGAGGAGGCCATTCGTCGCCTGGCCTCCATCTCGACGGGCGTCACCGCACTAAATGCTGCAAATCAAAACCTAACGAATGACTTGATTGAGTAAGCACTCTTTCATCCTCGCTTCCGCTTTCACACTTAACCACACCCACCAATTCTCTACACACACACCCCCAGAAATACATTTTACATTTTTCAAGGCACGTAGTCTCTCATTCACTTTTATTTACTCAAATACAATAATTTTTGTGTACTCACACCATACTTTCCCATTCCTACTATTGTACACTGCCCTAATCTATATCAGTTCGCAGATTGGCGACACAATGTGTTGTAAGTAGTTTTCAGGTTTTTCGGTTCTTATTTCGGTATTTCTTAACTAACGGGTCGGGAATGAGAGAGCCGCTCACTTGTTTTGCATGCTGACACGTTACGAAAATATCTCGCCCTTAGTGCTTATATCAGACGTGTATAATGGAGTCGTTTCCTATTGCTTTGACACACACACACACACGCAGACACACGCAGACACACACACACACACACACACTCACACACATATATATAACTTTAAAAATAAGATCTTAGGTCAATTTTAAGCATAGTTTGTCTAATAAACTACGATATTTCAATTGGTTGAACCGCAATAACCATTCAAAAATTGATTAAAAAAAGGCTTTTTATGCAACAATTTACATTTCAGTAACCTACAAACAACCCAGAAACATGTACATTGCTTATTATTTACAAAATAAATGAATATATTCGTTTTAACAAAATCATAAAATTGTGTAAAGAAATTGAATCGTATAAATTCTATACTTTTTTATTTTTGCTTTAATGTGATTTGAGAGCTTATTTTCAAAGTTGTGTCGATCTCTCTCTCTCTCTCTCTCTCTCTCTCTCTCTAAAGACAATTATTTATGCAGGTTAATGATTAGCTAAATTTGTTTCCCTGTAAACAGAGTGAAGTTTTATTCATTTTTTAGGGACTATCACTTACATTATCATTTACAAAAACTATTTAACATAAACACTTTTTTCTTCCCTGTAAAGAGAGACACGACAATTAAAGCTAACTAACCGCTTTTCTGTTTACACCACTAACTTCAATTACAATGTATCTTTCTTATAAATTTCTTCAAGCTATACTCATGCGTATTTAAATATCTTAACAATCGTACCACTCATTCCATCTAGCGGTCCTTAGTCTCAACCACGCGCAACCA